GTCCACTGAGCATGAGTGACTTATGCAAGGTCACAAAGCAGTTAGAAAGTCTCCTCATAGTGAACTTCCAGTAAATTGTATTCTAGAAAACTTTCCTCCTTCTTAAAGCACTGACAATTAAAAAGTAAGTGTGCTTGTTTGGCACTCTAAATATTCATTTTTCCTTCTTTTTTTCTTCAATTACTGCTCATATTTGCATGTCCATACCCCCAATCCCTTGCCCTCCCATCCTCCAATGTTCCCTATCAATCTTCCCCAACTCATTCCCAGGGATAGTGAGGCCCTCCACGAGGGATCTTCAAAGTCCATCATATCATTTGGGGGAGGGCCTAGGCCCTCTTTGCTGTATCTGATCTGCAATAGTATCCCTCCATAGGGAATGGGCTCCCAAAGTCCATTTGTGCTCTAGGGATAAAGACTGGCTCCACTGTTAGAGGCCCTATAGACTGTCTTGGCCTCCTAGCTGACACCCACATTCAAAGGGCTTGGTTAATCCAATGCTGTTTCCCCACCTTTATGATTAGTATATCCATGCTATCAGTAGGTCAGGTCCACTGTTTCTGCAGGTTTCTGCAGCCCTTTCTTGGCTCCTTTTCTCATACCTCCTCCCTCTCCACAACAATTAAATATTAATTTTAATAGCCACTATTCATAATATATTTATGTGATAAGTCTTCATCCATTGATAACATATTCAGTAATATATTCAAATGTGTTATATATTAGATGAGAAAAGATTATGTTATTTTATAATGGGATATTATTGTCTAATTTTATGTTAAAATGTAATTCTAAAATCTACTGTGGTGTGTATTGGTACAATTTACTACTGGAAGCACAGCTTAATACATTACGAAGACATACATCCTGTGATAAACTTTCATGTGCTATTATGAAATTGTATTTTGAAACATATAAGGAAAACTACAACTTCAAATTAATGTTTTATAATGTGAAAAATCTGTAATAATAAACAAATTTACCCACTGAAATATTTATAAGTCATGTTTTGTAACTTTTAATTATCTTAAAACAAACCTTGGGGTTTAAAATTAGATTTTAATCCAGTGCTCTGCTTTTCAAACAACATGAAATGTAGCAGGTCTTCTTGATCATGTAAAATAACTAAGCTTAACATAATAAGACTTCTTCAGAGATAATCTGTGTTCCACATGGTCTATGGAAAGCAAGATTAAAAGCAATGCTATTCCTTCCTCTTATCTACTTCATATTATTTTAATTTTGATTTCTTCTACAATACATTATTATGAAGCAAGTTAAATAAAACCCTTGTTCCTAATTTACAAGCAGGTGGGCATCTAAATTTTAGTCTTTGCTCAAGTAAGCACTTGGTAATTTTCTCTTCTTTCTTTTCATTCTGTGTATTAGTTTTCTGAAATAGTATTTCTGTCAGCTTCTTTTAGGTGGTCTTTCTGACATGCTGGAACAGGGTGTACCGTCTCTTACAAGTGATGGCACATCTTGTAAAGAGATTGTGCTCTAGTCAAAGCCCATCATTGGTCTGATTCTGGCTTTGCAGTGGATATATAAATAGAGATTACAGGGTGACCTTGCACTACAAAATCATTACATATATTCAGAGCTATCTTTTGGACTGAAATCTGAAGATTCTACAGAACTCCTTTGTATTTAATTTTATTTAAGTAGTTGCAATTTTTGATGAATAGATTGGCAATGAAGACAGAGAAACCATAAAAACAAGCTTCCTCCCATAGCAGTTAGTAGAAAATTATTGCTTTTAAAGAAAATTGCCTTCTTCACTCTGCTTTAAAAATGCAGTCTTTGTTTATAGTGAATTTTATCCTTAATGCTGTAAAGCTTTATCATTTACTCTCCTCCACATTGATTTCAAAGTGTAACACAAAGTATTAAATGAAATGATGTTCACATTGGAATAGATTTTATTACTTATAGTGTAAATTAGGATTCTATGACGTAGGTAAGCTTCATGGGTGATGAAAAGGGCAAGTGTTTGAATATTACTTTTAGCAAAATCAATAATCATTTTCAGGGGAATACATATAAATTCAAATATGCTTATATC